CAATAAAAGCGCTGAATACGCGCATCTGGAGTTGTGTGAGTTGGTGTAGGAAAAGATAGTGTATTAGACTCAATGTTCTAACTTATCATTAACATCTTTGATCGTTGACTATGAAAACCCACCTTTTCAATTTTACTTTGACTGTTATCCGCCGGCTTTGAAGGCTCCTCGATCACTGTACACGCATAGACCCGAGCGCAAGAAAGCTATCAATAAGAAGTTATACGTCCGCTTATCGACCCCACCAAACAAGACTGACCATGTCGACTAGTACCAGCAGCCGAGGCATTAAAGCTTTCCACATTTTCAAAAAGCCTCCATATACCTGATTCAATTTCTTTCAAAACCTCATGATTAGACCAAAAGTATAATCCTTTCCTGACCAAGGATAAATCATTGGGAAGATTCAACCTTTCTGCCAAACCTCCAATCGTCCAGGTTTCTAAAGATCAAAAAATTGCCAATCAGAGAGATCTTCTAACCATATATGCTTGATTCAGCAACAGACAGGATAAATAACAAACCTTTTTCTTCGAATAATTCAATCACAGATGCTTGGAGTGTGGTCACTTCGACCGAAAGTACCCGATCTTCTAATTCGATCTCTAATTCCACTGTTCCCAATTGAGGGATCCATCGCAGCCTTCGGTCAACTTTGAGTCGTCCGTAAGCCTGTTCAAAGGACTTTTGAATCCTGACAATGTGTATGAAAAGGTATATCAGTTTCAGTAAAACAGAATCTTGAAAGGGCGGTTTTGAATTCACTCTACCAATCGTGGTGCGAATCGAAATGGAGTACCGAGCAAATCTGGCCAAAAAAGATGAGAGATGATAATGACATGCATCGGTAGCTATAGGCGTGGCCCAATAAGTCTCAAGTCAGCGTACGTCGGACACTCCAACAACCCTGTGACACTAAGGTCATTTGCAAAATGTGACTCAACTCCAGCAATGAGTTCATGAACACTGGTATCAACTCGTTTCGAGTCCGCCAAATCTTTCAGCATGATATCGCAAGGCTGTAGGCTCACTTCTCCAAACTTTGATTTTAAGATCTCAACCCTGGCCAGCTGAAGAAGTCGTAGGATCACAATATTTGATCAGAAACACTGTTTTAGGAATTCTACCAGTTATAGATGTCCTCACCTCCATTGATACAACAAAGCCTTTCACATTCAATAGCCGACTCGACAGCAGCAATTGAAGTTCCTTCACAAACCCATCTCGAGTTTCATATATGCTTACCAAACTTTCAATCGCGTCTTCTTTTAATCCGTTCTTATATCCAATAGGTGCATCTACGGGGTCAGGTGTCCAGTTCGGCGAAGTATAATCCACTTCTTCTTTAATTGAAAAACTGGGTCCATCTGGACCTGAGATTGGTCTATCCTTACAAGGAGAGCGATCCAATTCGTCTCCTAAAGTATGACCAGGCTCAACAAGTGAAGTCACAATGCAGCGTATTGTATCCTCACGACTCCTAAAAAGAAATGAATTGGATGAGTCTTTGCTGATTAGGTTTGGAAGAGCAAGGATGAGAATCATACTGTCATCGGGACACCCACCTAAGATAGGTCCTGACTGGATGACCCACACAGCTGAGTAGGACTCCAGGTGGATCCAAGACGCGCATAGCTTTCATCAAAGAGATATATTGTGTGATTATATCCTGAGTATCTGCACCAGGGTGTAACAATCGTGTTCGGTTCGATTTTTGTAGGGTTCGGACAAGTAAAGAACGTTGATCGGTTTTGCTGAGACAAAGCTATCGAAATAGGAAACAATGGGTGCGAGGTTCTTGTACGTACTTGCACCATTTCAAGATGTATCGGAAACAAGACACTTACACGCAAATCCTCCAAGGCTGGCAATGAATCGGGAAATTCCACAATGATGTCAAAGAGCTCACTAATTCTATCCTCACGAGAATGGTGGTACAGAGAAGGATAATCAAGTATCACTAAGTTTCAATTTGATGCTGGACAAAAGTGAGCTGAGGTGGAAAAAGGAAATCCACAAACCTGAGTTCTGACATAGATTTGTAGATATGGTATTCGAACCTGGATATGGCCGGACGCATGATTGCAATAGCTTGGTCTCCTCCAGCTTCAGCCACAGTATTAGAATGTTGTCCTTCTAGGTGTCCGAGGCTCGATTCAAAGATCTTATACAGCCAAATTCCGATATCTTTCCTAAACCACAACAGCATGTGCTCTAGAGACGCGCCAGGATCATCCCAAACTCCTCTACAGACACTGTCGATTCTCTGATCGATTGCATCATACCCCACTGAAAATAAAATTGGTTGAAATGCTTGAAGGAGCCCCAAGCAAGCGAGTTGTTGGACCGGGGTAACGGTCGATTCAGTAGAAACGGGTCTAAACAAGACAAGGATTGACTAGATCTTCGAGAACGAGTGTCTTCAAACTTG